TCCGGGCTCTCTACAACCCCATCCACGTTTTCTTCGGCTCCACCATCCTCATGTTGTCAGTGGTTTCCTGTGTCTCGGGCATCAATGAGAAGCTTTTCTTCAGCCTGTGAGCATGTGGGAGGGGGGGGGTGATCCTGGGCTGGGGGGCTCGAGGAGTGGGGGGTTTGTGCTGGTTGGGGGCAGAAGTGACACGGAGTAAAACCCAGCGTGAAGGGAAGTGAGTTCCCCCACACAGCTGGGTGGGTGCTGGGTGTGCCTGGGTCCAGGGGAAGGTTGGGTGCATCCAGGGAAGTTCTCGGTCCCCTTTTCACCCTAGGAAGAATGGGACAACAGACTACAAGCTCCTCCCTGCCGAGGCTGTCTTTGCCAACTCCCTGGGGCTCCTCATCCTCCTTTTTGGGGTGCTGGTGGTGGGTGCCCTGGCCAGGCCCAGCTGGAAACGCCCTGATGCCCAATCCCTGGACTCTTCCCAGGTACCAGCTCTGCTGTGAGGACCCCCTAGGTGGCTTTGGGGGCACAAACAGGGGGACCTGCCCCATCCTTAGGGGGGGGCTGGGCAGGGGGGTGCAAACACCGGGCTCACCCGTTTTGTCCCCACAGCCCCCGCTCAAAAACCCGGCTCTCGGCTCTGTCACCCCCCCGCCTGCTGCCAGCCTGTCACCTCCCCCTCTCCAAGGGCTGCCTGCTCCTGCCTGCCTGCCTGCCTGGGGGAGGAAGGGGCTCAGCTCCCTCCCAGCTGAGACATTCCTGTGGTGAGGATGTCCCTTTGCCTCCTGTATGGCCCGGGTTGGCCTCCTGCCTGTGGCAGGGGGGAGGCAGCCTCAGGGCAATGCTCCTGTTGCGTCCCTTGGGCCTCCATGCTCCAATTCCTGGGGGATCCAGCCCCCTCCCTTGCCCCTGGACCTCAGGGCCTGGCCTCAAGCCCTTCCATGGGCAGTGCTGGAGCTTCCTGAGCCTTGTCAAGTCAGAAACCACCAGAGGAGCATCTCCATGCCTGGCAGTGCTGCTGCCCACCCCTCTCCAGGATCATGTCCCATGCAGGGAGCCTGGCCCAAGATGGAAGGGACAAAGGGGACCCTCACACTGTGCCCTGCCCTCCCTGGGGCTGCCTGTGCCTCTTCCTGCCCCATGGGACCAGCTGAGCAGCCCCTTGGGACACAAAATAAATCACTGGCTTCTGCAGTGCTCCTGCACCCACCTCCCTGGGGACAAAGGGGAGTCCCAGGAGCCACAGTCCTGGTTCGTTTTTGGCCCTTTCTCAGCATCTCCTCCAAGCCCCGTGCCTGGGGCCATGTGAGCCCTGTGGTTTCCCCTCTCAGGGCCTGGTTCAAAGGGCTCATGCTCAGCCTTGAAGTTCCTTTCTTCCTTCTCCCCCTGGTCACGCTGGAGCACGGGATCTGCTCCTGTCCCCCTTCTCCTGGGACAGAATCCCAGACTGGTTTGGGTGGGAAGGAACCTTAAAGATCATCCAGCTCCAACCCCCCTGCATGGGCAGGGACACCTCCCACCAGCCCAGGCTGCTCCAAGCCCCATCCAACCTGCCCTTCAGCACTGCCAGGGATGGGG